CACGTGATAAGACATTTAATGAAATTCTTGCCAATCGTGACGCCAGACTTGATGAAATTGAACGCAACCTTCAAACCAATCATAAGAGAGTCACAACAGAATTCGAATCAATCAATATTATGCCGTTGTTCAGGCGCAAAGTGCCTTTTCTCCCGAAATAAGAATCGATCCTATCGAAGACACATCCGTCCAAAAAAGTGATGAAAATCAATCCGAAGCTTCTTCTGGTTCGAGCCAACGGTCATTTTCCGATATAACTTCAGAAATATGAAACCAATTTAAAAATATTTTTGTTAGAATTAAGACAGAAAGAGGATATTCTTTAGATGAAATGTGTACTATCGTGGCGGTTGATATCCTTAATCTTGGGGTGGGAAAACTTAGTAAAGATATAATCAAAATTATTATCGTAGAATTAATGACTTAAAAGACAGTAACTTGGATAAAATAGGTGCTTGGATCGATAGCAAACAAAATAATAATGAGTAGCGGGAAAGGAACTGCCATTCTCGCTTTGCGAGGGGTCCAGGGGCCGACAGGCATTTATGCTTTATTCCTCCCTTGAAATATCCGCTCTCCAATATCATTAAACTATTTTTTTCTCTAATGTACTACTTACGAAAAAACTTCGATTTTTTTAAACATGCATTAATAACAATGTACACCCCTTTTTTCTTTAGCGTCATTTTGCATCAAAAGAAAAAATGTATTATATATTGAAAACCTAGTTGCTCGGGTAGTCATATATTAATAAACTTATTCTAAAACCTAATAGTCACAGTTTTTTTACCCAAACTCTCTATCTTAAATGCATCAAAATCTTTGGAGCATGATACATATATAAAATCCTTCCGCAATTTTCGAACCTTTTTTACCTCACTGCGAATATCAATAATAGCTATGCTCTTTGCGTATTTTATAATTTCTTTATATTCTCCCGTTAAAGAGTTAAATATTTCTTCGTGCTCAGCCATATCATCACCATCTCTCAAGAGCTCTATCGCCCAGTCTAACTTGTCCACATAAAAATATATTTTGCCATCACATCCAAAAACCGAACCCACATCACACGACAAAAAATGATCTTCTCCCAATACTTGTGTACCGATTCTATAAAATTCCTTCTGCCATGTTTGTTCCAGGATTCTTCCGTTGGATCCAAATCCAAGAGTATCTCTTAAAATTTTCCCACTTAGTTCATTACACATTGCTGTGAAAATCTTCACAATAAAATGATGCAAATCCGTAGGAATACTATCAGTATCATTGTGAACTCCGTAATTTTGCTGAAAAAATGATCGCTTAAGAAGAGGTGCTGCAAAAGTTATATATATATCATCTTTAATGACAACGACTCCAGATTTGACCAAATCCACATGATCCTTATTAGAATCTATGTAATGAATTTTTCCATTTAAGTAAATTTTTTCGCATATGTTTCTTTGCGTATCAGAAAGTGCAGAAACTTTTGGTACAGCACGGCAGTTGTTATAGATAGATGAATCAAAATCCTTTGAATTTAAGTACTTGAATATTTCTTCCCAAGATAGGTTATTAGTATCAATTCGCTTCTTCATTGCATTTTCTGTAGACACCAAGACGTGACGAACCAAACCCGCGTGTCCTTTTGTAACTACCCAAATATATTTATATAATTTTGAGACGCTTGGTGGATCTAAATTTTTGAAGTAATCGTCACAGAACTTTTCAATATACTTTCTTAACTCGTCACGCTTAAAATTGATGTCAATAAGACCTTTGCAATTTGATTCCGGTAATGCGACAGGGGTGGTGAGTCCTATATAGTTAGAACTCCTATATCCATAGGCCGCAAACATTATAATATTTATACGAGCTACTTCCTGAAGGAGACCTTTAACAACAAACCAGAATTGATCTGCAGATTCTATATTATTTTCATCAACTTTTTTCTCCTTCGCGTAAATTAATTGAACTTCATCTAGAATCAAAATCGTTGGAATTAAATCGCACTGCTCTATCCACTCTTTCCAACTTACGCCAAAAATACTTTTCCATCGCTCTCCAAATGTATTCCAACTGATATGCAATCTCCAAAGCAATGAAACTCGTATTACTCTATAATTTGAAAATTCTGGTGCGTTAACCATGTTATGCTCCATAATTTGGGCTATTGATGTTTTTCCGGAAAAGGGAGGTGCTCGAACAAGTATGACTTTTTTATTCATAAGATCTTTGATCAAAAGAGGTATAATATCATATCTTAGGCTGACATCAGGGTCATTAATATTAATACCCTCGTTGGAAGAGTTTATCCTCAGATCAATATGTAGAGGCGTACCACCAAGACCACCTAAAGAAATTAAGAAGTTGAGGTTAGAAATATATTATAAGATTGTGATTAAAAATATTAACTTATACGTACCTCGTCGAGGCAGATAGCTTCTTTGATCTAGTATAGAGATAAAGGTGATAATACATTATATACAGGAGGCAGAATAGAGAAATTATCTTTGAGAGGTAAAACATTGGGAGACACTTACCAGTGGTGGCGGGCAGTGGTGGTTGCACGATGATGCGGATGTTCTTCAAGTCACTATACGCAAAAATGTCACCAAAATCATCAAATGGAGTCAACTCTTGTCCTTCGAGCTCTCGTATAATAGTAACTTCATTATGAGATCTGCTTTCAAGTGTTCTCAGTTTAACGAATTTATCGTTTTTTGCATCGCCAGGAATATCCACCTTCCATAGGTTCAACTTGTTGGCGTCAAAATTTTTGAAATCGTTCTTATTCTTCTCATATATTACTTCCCTTAGTTTTGAAATACTCATTCCTGCCTGGCCTTCAACTTGAAAGGAGCTCTTAACTTCGGTACCCACCACAAAACAAAATACCATGATATCGGCGATATGCCTGCAAACGCGTAATTCGAGAGTTAAAACGGGATTTAAAACTGATTTTCCCTTAAGTACAAATAAATAAA